AGGAGAAAGAGAAAAAGAGGAAATGTGTACAAGTATGAACGACTGTTGGCATGTGCACGCGTGAGTATGTGCGCGCTCATGTGTGCTGATAAAACGCGCGAGCTGGAGAGCGTGTAAGTAAGAAGGTTAACACGAAAGCGTGATGGTATGCGTGAGTCGGGTACAGGGAAGGGAAGTGAGGCGTGGACGTGGACCCACTAGATGACTCAGCGCTGGGTCCCATCACTAATCAAAACGTAGAGATAATATTGGTGACAATTTGATGAGCCTATTGCACGGGTTGGCTACTGGGCTTTTTTCGGGTTTAGTAAGAGTTTTACGGCACTTACAACACGATAAGGTCATATAAGTGCCAGAGATTAGAAGTGTTACAAAAGAGTAACAAACACAAAAAAGAAGGAAGGGATTAAAGACGACAGATGTTCAATAGGAAAAAAGGAGCAAGTCACACCAGAGCACCCACCAACCGCCACTGGCTCGGCTACGTAAACGCATATTTTATGTCAACGTAAAAAACCCCAACAACAAACAAACAAAAACAAAATGCAAAACAAAACAAAACAAAACAAAACACAAAAAACACAAAATATAGACTCCATCTATACAGCAGGTCAAGATCGTGGGCACTGGGCAAGTAGCCGCCCTCAAGGACGGTAACCATCAACAATCTATTTATAGCCTAGAGGCACCAGCCTTCCACAATGATTATAAAATAAACGGTATTTACGGTCTCTGGCCTTCCAGGTACATGTGTTGTTTTAGCCTCTTTCTCCTGTCTGTGGCCTCCAGGTGGGTCCCCTTTAGTTGTCCCTATTATGTGAGGTGTGCTGATAAAATGAGGTACTTCTCGATTTTAGCCTAATGGAAGTTGTTCCAACAACTTTATTAAGTGGAGTTTGTACAATTAGTAAGTATGGAATAATACGACACGGTAGACGTGAAGAAAACGGCATCGATTGAAAATCTACAAATCTGGTCCAGGTGTCAATTTCTGGACAATATCTCCGTTCTTGGATTGGGATAAATAACTCATTTTGTCAGCACGCCTCACATAGGTTTCTTTTGTTGTTGTTTATTCGATGTTTTTTGTTGGTGGTTTTTTTGGGAGGGGGGGGTAGGCGTTACATTTGAGTTTGAGCTTTACACATTTTACGACACTCACTATCGACACAATTTAGTCATATTAATTTGTG